GGGTATTTCACATGAAGCAGATTTTATGAATATCCTCATAGAGATATTTAATGTATTATGTTGAAAGTTGAAAATTATATAATTCAAACTATTTTTGTGGTGAATGTCATAACAAATATTCTTATCAAAATACAAAGATAGACAAGGGACACAAATTGCTACAAAGTGATAAATACATTAGTTATATTGTTAGTGGTACTGGTGAGATGAACATTTATAAATGATAAACTAATGAAATATATATATATATATTCAATTTACTGATATAAAACAATTCTTTGTCATTTTTCTCATGATTATTAATATTTAATATGCACCTGGAGGCCCATGACAACTGATACAAAAGGGTTTTGATGAATTCTCTATTAAGGACAAAGGCATACAAACACACAGATGATACCAGTAGAGCTAACAGAAGGCAATTAAAGTAAGAGAGCTTGCTAAAACTGGGATGCAGGGAAAGTAAGTCAATGAAATTGGTCAAAGACCACAAGCATGGTTTGATCTACCCTAATTTACAGAAAAAAAATGGAGATTCTGTGACAGAGACAAATATTTCCTGGAAAATTTTTTGGAGCATGAGAAATACAGTAAAACTATCCAGAGAACAGACTAACAGTTGCAGGAGTATATGTGTCTTGGTGTGTTCTTTTTGGTGAAATAGAACATCACAGGAAGACATTATATAGCAATCAAAACTGTATTTATCCTAAGTTTCTGAAGATTGAGAAATTCAAGACTAAAAGCCCATCTCAAGGGAAGATCTTTCTGGTACATCATGAAATGGTAGAAGCCTGAAAAACAGTAGCAGTTCAAATGAAGCATATTAAGAAACACAGTAACAGTATCCTCCCCATGTTAGGATCCCACACCTGTGGTAATTAACTCCCTTGCATATCAGCATTCATAATTTTGCCATGCTCCTTATAAATGGATCGACTCTTAGTATGTTCTATTTGGGGTTGTTTCTGACACATCTTATTTCAAAGACACATTTTGCCATAGTATATGGTTCTCAGCTTTTTATAGTAGAGACGTACTTAAGAGAAGCATTAAAGTAGAAATGAGATCTTCTTTAAATATAAGTAGTTAGGAAACTAAGAGTTCTGGTGTTACCATATAAGCAATTGCCTCAAATGAATATGAGTTAACAGTATCAACCGGTAGTCATTATGTAGCTTTTGCTTATGATTCATCATTGGCCCAGAATAGAGAAATCTGTTCTTTGTAGTAGGTGGGCACCAACAACTACTGATTTATATGAAAACAAGGGCCAAATAAAGGACTCCAAGATCTCACCTGGTTTTGCTGGTAATTTTCTTAAAATTTCTTCAACTATCCTGTGATTTCTGTTTTCTAACATTACCTTGAAATACCTGAATTTTTTATATGTTCAAGTATATGTATATACTGAAAGACCCTCGAAGAGGACCTTCTCTTGGAAGGAGACCTCCCCGAAGACAAGGAACAGGCCGAGACCACACGAATGCAAATCGCAAGAGGTTTATTGGGTAAATACAGGTACCTGCGGGCAGCAAAGTCTTTTGGAGGACTTGCGCCCCTGCAGACTGGGGGGGGGGTCTTTTTATAGCAAAAGCAAGTTTACAGAAGCAGAAGTGTGGTTATCGGTTGGTCGGAATGAGGCGGTGGGGGGGGGCATGAATGGTTTTTCCTCTCCCAGCATGGATGTTTGGCAATAGATATCCTGTTCTTATCTTATAGATATCCTGTTTTGCAGTCATCCTATCTCGTAGACATCCTGCTTTCCTAAGCAAATGAGATGTTTGCATGAAACAGTCAATAGAGGGGGCTAGTGTGGTTTTCATGTTATAAGAAATGGGTACCAGTACATATAATTCCTATGATAAAGGCAAAAGTGTGCAATCATCTATATGATTATTTCTTTGCATATTTCCTTTTTCCAGGTCTACAAAATCTCTGACTCCTTAGATAGAAAAGAGGATGACAATTTGAGATACCTGAACATATTTAAATTCTGTTCAAATTCATTGAGTGATATGACAACGGATACTCAATTTTTACTTCTATATAAATTTTCTTCTTAAATGGAGTTTCCAAAAGAGAATGGAAGAAGTAAATCAAACAACAGTGACTGAGTTCATCCTCAATGGGCTAACAGAGAATCCAGAGCTCCAGGTGCCCCTATTCCTCATCTTTCTAGGACTCTATTTGATTACAATTGTGGGAAACCTGGGCATGATCATCTTGATTATGTTTAGTTCTCAGCTTCACACACCCATGTATTATTTACTCAGCTGTCAGTCAACTGTAATTACTCCCAAAATGCTGGTAAACTTTGTGACAGAGAAGAATGTCATTCCCTATCCAGAATGCATGGCTCAGTTCTACTTCTTCTGTTCTTTTGCTGTTGCAGAATGTCACATGTTGGCTGCAATGGCATATGACCTCTATGTGGCTATCTCTAACCCATTGCTTTACAATGTAATCATGTCCTATCAGGTTTGTTTATGGATGATAGCCTGGGTATATGGTATGGGCTTACTAAGTGCCACTGCTCACACTGTCTTCCTGCTAAGAGTCCTTTTCTGTAAGGCTAATATAATAAGGCATTACTTCTGTGATCTTTTCCCATTATTGGAGCTCTCTTGCTCTAGTACTTTTATCAATGAAGTACTAGCATTGTCCTTTAGTGCATTTAATATTATTATACCAGCTATGACCATCCTTGGCTCTTACATGTTCATTATATTCAGCATCCTCCACATTCAATCCACTGGGGGCAGATCCAAGGCCTTCAGTACCTGCAGCTCCCACATCTTGGCTGTTGCTATTTTCTATGGTTCTTTAGCTTTCATGTATCTTCAGCCATCATCAGTCAATTCCCTGACCCAAGGGAAATTATCATCTGTGTTTTATACCATTGTTGTGCCTATGTTGAATCCTATGATCTACAGCCTGAGAAATAAAGATGTCAAAGTTGCCCTAAATGAGTTACTAGAAAACATAAGTTTCTTCTTAACAAAGAACAGTTTTCCTTAGCAATAGAGTTTATTCAAGTAACAACCTATATAATCTCCTGACAATTCTTTACGGCCCTTTGTGTGGTTGCTTATATTTGATTAATTGGCCTAGGTCTTTTTAGACAAACCTCACTTAAATTAATTTGGAAGTAAATTTATTCAATACTGTTTTGTTGCTTAAATGTATTGTAGATGGCATTGATTTATTGGCAAATGATTTAAAATGTAGATTTCTGATTTGTGTCATTAAGCATTTGAAATAAACAATTTGCAACTCTGAGATTTGAAAAGAATATAGAACTTTTTTTTAGTGTATATAGAACCAAAGGATAGCCTCTGTCATGTTCCTACAAAAAGTTGATTCATTATCTTAATCTAGAGGTACAATTATTAAAAAGAAGGAGCAGAAGCACTATTAATATTTATTATTTGTGCATCATTCATTACACTGCCTTTTGACTCCTCCTCAATTTCAAATAATTTATATTCATATTTCTAGACATGTAGAGTTATGGTGTTTTTCTTTCCTTCCTTTCTGCAGTTCAGACTCAGAAATTATATTCATTCACCATTCACTACAGAATACATTTGTGTCATTATTCACGTGGGAAATGATAAAATTTGACATTTTTTTCTCACCATTGGCAAGTATCATTCAGAAAATCAATAACAATTGTGAAGGAAAAGAATGGTCCAGAAAGAAGACCAATTTTAATATAAACTTGTTTACTATGATTTTATCCAGTTAGGTGTTTGATTCAATACATCAAGGACAGATTACTAATAAACAACAACAACAAAATCTGTAGTAGAAAATGATTATGTTTATGCTCAAGGTCACTGAAGAACTCTATTTCAGAATAGTCACTAGATTCTCTGCCTCCCTCCCTCTTTTTTGAAAGACTTTCTTTTAGAATCCACTGATTCTCTTAACTAAACCTTCTTATCAACCAGAGTATTGACTGATATCAGCAAAGAAAACATACCAGAGAACTGATGGCATTTTGTTATTTGTTTGCCTTTATGCTGTTGGAAATAAAATGATTCAGCCCTTGAATTCCTTCTATGTTTTCAGCTTTTTAGTTAGATGCTTACTCTACCGACATCCTTTGTACTGCTTATGCTCTTTTATAATTTTTTTTTGCTGTAATTTTAATGCGGCCTCAAAGAAGACAATGAATGTTTGTGCTTAATTCAAACCTAACACAAAATCATTCCCATCTGTTTACTATGTAGAACTGTGAGTCTGTTGACTTTTGATTTCTGGTATTAAACAGGGTCATCTATAATGATGAATCAATAAATATAAAGTCAGAGGTGAAAAAACTACATTGTTACATTGTCAGTTTGCATTATCTTGGGAGTCACTTGGACTTTCTTGACGAAACCATTCAAAAGATTCTTGTGCCAATGACTGGGAGTTTGCTAGTCTCTGGTTATTGTGCGAAGCATTATCATCACAAGTGGTTTAATTTACACACACACACACAGACACACAGAGAGAGAGAAAGGTGTTACTTAGACTTAGAGTAAATACAGCTTTTTCTCCAGCATTTTTATTTATAATCTTACACTAGTAAGCCCAAATATGTTTTAAAGTAAATAAAGTTATTATTGCTAGAACAAGGATACTGTTCTCTAGAACAAGAAATCTATTAAAATGTTAAATATGAATAAACAAGGCTAAAATATCTGCAAGCTTTATATAGCTTTATATAGCAATCATTCCTGTCACATCAGGTAATCTTTTGGAAAAGTTTCCTTAATTTCTTTCTGTAAATAATATATTATTTAAGAAGAATTAGAATGCCCTGTGAAATGCATCTTTTCCCAGTCACACTTGCAACTATTGAACCTTAACAGTACAATATAATAGGATGTAACATTTCAATTTTATCTTAATTTTACCTGTTTCCTCAATATTTCTAACTGACCTTCCAATAGTATAGCAGCTTATCTCAAATAAACTATTTTATTAACTACATCATTCTCTTTTTATTTTGTTGAGTCCAAAGTTCAGTAGAATTCTTATGACAGTTTCTAATGAATTCAGAACTTTGAAAACTTTTTATGAAGCATCTGTCTACCTATTGTAGCAGTAGCCTTCAATACAATAATTCCCATTACTATAGCAATAACCAGTTAAATCATGTGGCAAGTTTTTCTTAATACTCTATCAACAAGCTTCTGCACTAGAATCACCAAAGGTGTGTCTCACCATAGCCTCGACATCTTCACTTGTATCCATACTGTTAGCCTTGCTCTACAAATGTATAAGTTTTCAAAAGCTGCATTTAAAAAAAAATACTAGAATTAACACAGGTATGGAGAGTACAAGGTTAATAAATGATATTATAATTATTAGGGAGCCATCACACAGGCCTTTTCAGTCATAAATAAGGTAATGATACACATGCTACAAAAGGGTAACATTGACTTAATCTAAAAGACAAATAAATGTAGTGATCATCCGCAAAATCAGACTTTCCTTCCCATGCTATAAGAGAGTGGAGGGACTTGTTAATTTCCACAAGTTAGTCTGAACTGAATTGCCAAATTGCAGGAGAGGACTTGACATTTCAGTTCCATTCCATTGAATAGGTTTATTAAAAGTAGACTAATTTCTTTAGTTCCATTTGAACTATATCTGAGTCATCTTAATTCTGATTAATAATATTTTCCTTTAGGGAAGCCGTCAGGGCTCCAGTTGATAATGTCTCTATTAAAAGTATTCCCAAGCATTCAAAGGTTCTCACTCTTACATTGATGTCAATATACCCAGTTAGAATCCTTGTTGGTAACCTTTACCCCACAAAATGGTAGATTTGGGGAACTGGTAGCACATTAATTTCCTGTCCTCTAAAACTAGATTCATAATCATATATAACATATTATGAAAATCCTGGGTAGAATTAACTAGATAACCACACGACAGGTTTTATTTAGATATTAAATTTCATTTTCCATACAAATAGGAATTCCTTGTACTCCCACAGTATAATTTATAATTTTCTTACCCTCCTCTATAAGCTTAGCAGTTTCTTAGTTGTGATTAGGATCAGGTGGCCAAGAAGATTCATCAGCTACCACAGGGATATTCATATCTCCCCAAGGAGGTTAATTGGAGGATTAGTGGCATAAGGACAATCTGTACCTATTTAGTTACCACACATTGCATAGCAGTGAATAGGGCTGTAGCATTCAAAGTTTCCCTAGTCAGTAAAACTATCATCTCCTCTTTGTCACACAAAATTTTAAACTGTCCCTAGGTGGGAAGATCAGCCACCTGCTTCAAAGACTTTTGCATCTCTTCTTTCTCAGAGTCATGTCATCCATATCAGTAGCCAAGGCTTCCAATAGACTCCTCCAGTTCATGTTGAATTTTTATGAATTTTGATGATAACTACAACTTTTGGTTTTTTTTTTGCAGAAACATAAGCATACCCTTGGCACCAACATAGCACTTTAACTTGTTTCCATACTGATGTTAAATCTTCTTGTATCCTTGTAATATACAAGTTGATACAATTCTGCAATTTTTTTCCACAATACAATGTCATTAAACAGCTGTTGTTTTTAATTTATTATCATTTAAAAAATTAACGTTAGTAAAGCATTATGCAGTTTATCCATGAGTGTTCTTATATCCCCCTACTGTTTAAGAGTACAATTAAATCTTTCAATAATTGCTTGTCTTGTAGGATTATATGGTATCACTGTAATGTGTTTTACTTTATAATGTGAAAAAATTGTTTCATTTTACTGGAAACATATTGAAGGGCATTATCATTATCAGTAGGTTCAATATAGACATTGCCTCTAATAATGTGTGTAATTATAGAATCAGCCTTTTCAGAATTTAAAGTAGATTCACATTGAAATCTAGAGAATATATATGCAAGTTTTCTTCTAATTAGGGCAACTATTTTTCTGCTTCTGCTGTTAATTGCCTTGGGCAGTTTAAATCCAAGTCATCTTGCAAAATTTGAAACAAATTATTTAATTCTTCAGTAGTGAGTCCATGGTGGGTTGGAACCAGTTAATATCACCCAACAATTTTTGAAAATCACTGAATGTGTGCAATTGATTTTTTTTCTAAAGGATACACTGAGTGTGTACTCTTTGTGACTGAATTCACTCTTTAATTCATTTAAATCCTAAATAATTTAGAGAATCAGTGTATACTCTTTGTGACTGAATTCACTCTTTAATTCATTTAAATCCTAAATAATTTAGAGAATCTTTTTTTTTTTTTGATTTTTTTCTGGAGCAATTTGCAATCTCCAAAAGGTTAAAATTTCTTGTACTACATTAAAAATTTTTCCCCTAAGATTTCTGTATCAGAAACAGCACATAAAATACCATCCTTATAATGGTAATAATGGAATGAAGAAATTGTTTACAAACCATTTCCATTGGTTGATGCACAAAATGGTGACTTAAAGTTGGGCTGTTTAAAAATCCTTGAGGGAGAATTTTCCATTGCTCTCTCTTTTCAGCCTGGGCACTATTATAAGTAGGTACTACAAAAGAAGTTTTTTTTTTATCTTGTTTTTATAAAGGAATAGGGAATTATATTGTAAATTAATAACTACAATAAACCAATATTTAGGTGATAAAGAAGGTAAAGGAACTCTGGGCTGTAAAGATCACATAAGTTGAATTATTTCATTTTCAGCTTTCAAATCAATTAATATTCTCTATTTTCCAGATTTATTTTTTATTGCAAAAAAGAGAATTCCAAAGATTAGTAGTTTCTCCAATGTGCTTAGCATCTAGCTATTCTTTTGCTAGCTGTTCAAGCAACTGTAGTTTTCTTTAGCTAAGTGACATTGCTCTACCTATAGAGGCTTATCAGTTAGCTGCTTCAAAGGCAGAACATTGCATTACCAGAAGTGGCTCCTACTCCAAGTTTAAATAGCCAGTTTTTATTTTGTCCTGCTGTTTAACAACCTGTGATTTTTCTTGATAATTTTTTCCAGTACTTTTTCCAGGAACATTCTCATTTTAAACATTATT